GACCGATGCTGGGCATGGACACCGACGCAGTCGACTCCGAGCCTCTGGCGTGACTGAGGAGGACTGGATGTTGCGCTATGCCGAGGAGAGTCGTGCGATCGACCAGCAGCTCAAGGGTTACAGGGAGGAACGTCTCACGGTCCTGGAAGGGGTGGATGGTGCGAGGGGTTGGGTTTACTCTGCGGAGCAGAATACGGAGGAGGTTCCAACACCGACAGGGGTGGTGGCGGACGCCATGGCGTCAGAGGATATGTCCAAGCCTACTCTGCCTGTACTGGAGAGGAAACCCAGCGCATTGTCCAGGGACGTGACGAGGGAGATGACCCAGTTGACGGACGAGGCTCTGACCCCGCTGCCTGTGGAATCGGTGGATGACGTGGATATGGAAGAAGGCCGGGGGCGTCAAAGACAACGCAGTGGGCCCGAAATCATCATCGAGGATAGCGCGCACGCTGCCAGTCGCAAGTCGTGGAGTCTGGGTTTATGGCAGCAGGGCGTTGTCAAAGCTGCGTATGAGGTGAGCTCGGCTGCGGGCGTCCGGACATGGTCGGCTTGGACAGACGGCTGATGAGTATCCTTCAGCCACACACGCAGATGCCGCACGTGCCGCAGTTCACTCAGCCGACGACGGGCGATTTCGCGCGATACGCTCCATATCCCGTCCTCTCGTCTTCTTCTGATAGCAAACACAACTTTGTCCAAGCGACCGTCACTGGGCCGGCTGCCAAGGGTCTCGCCAGTGTAGAGTTTGTGTTCGAGAGTGGAGCGGAGGACGAGGTGGCCAAGCGGATGCGAGAGGTCGAAGAGGCGGTAGAATGGGAAAAAGAAGTCAAGCGACGCAGAAAGTAGGTCGAGGCTTAGTTGTGTGGATTGCATGCCGCGGTGCCTTCCACATGTAGCACGCATTGTACCATGTATGAATCGCATGGCCGCGCTGGACCGAACGATACCTAATCGTCGCAGTTGCTGAACCCCTCGCAAGCCCTACAAGCCTTGGAAAACAGCCCGCCTCTTCTCTGCAAAAGCCTTCAACCCCTCTAGTCTATCTTGAGTGTCCAGCAGTCCATTGTACACGGCCCGTTCCGTGTCGAGTCCCTGTTCGAGGGGCAGGCGCGTGGCGGACTGGATGGCGGTCTTGGCAGCTGCCAGAGCGAGTGGAGCTGATGTAAGGATCTGTCCGGCGAGGAGGGTGGCGCTGTCGAGCGGTGTCCCGGGCGCCGTCGCGAGCTGGTTCAGGAAGCCTGCAAGGGAGACGCGGGACTCACGAATCAGCGAGGGTCATGTAGACGCTTGTCAGGACATCCGAACCCACCTATGCGATGCGCTTCGGGTCCGCCGACGTGTCGTCCTGTGAAGATTAACTCTTTGGCTTTGGCCGCTCCGACCAGGTGAGTCATGCGTTGCGTCCCGCCTGCACCAGGTATGATCCCCAGTTTGGTCTCGGGCAAGGCGATCTTGGTGTGTTCGCCTGTGACGTGGTGAGCACTGGTGACCTTTGCCTACTCGCTACCTTGCGCACACGCCCACTCACCCCCGACGCGCAGATCACACGCCAGAGCCAGCTCAGCACCTCCACCGAGAGCATACCCGTCCATCACGGCTATACTTGGCATCTTGGTCCCCTCTAGCTCACCCAGCAACGCTCGGAGCGAGTCGAGGAACGAGCTGACCTGTGCCGGTGACATGGTCCGCCGCTCGCGAAGATCTGCACCGGAGCAGAACAGACCTGGCTGAGAAGCCTGGACCAGGAGGACTCGGGCGGAGCTGGAGTGGGACTTTAGTATAGCCTGAGTGAAGAGGCTAACCGATCCCTCACGGTACAGGCATCGAGTCGAGCTTGGCTAGCGCTTCTCGCATCTCCTAGTGGATCGTCACCAGGTCAGTACGGCCACGCGATCGAGCCCAACTCGACTCACCCCTACCATCCTAACGCTCAATGCGTTCTTCGTCTCGGGCCGGTTCAGAACCAGACACATGACCCCTTCGAGAGCCTCGCCAGCTGTCGCCAAGTCCGACCGGCTGGTCAGAAGCGGTCGAAGGTAGGCGTGGGGCTCAGCGGACGGCGTCGAGATCCACCGTTTGCGCCCGGCTGTGCCGGGTCGAAGCGGTCGGCGTAGTGCGCTTGTCAGAATGGGTGGCATGATGTATGGCACATATAACCGTTGCGTGCTGCGTGGGTGTGCTCGACTGGACGTATGTATCGCCTTACGGTCATATACCACACCACTGTTCAGCTTCAGTCCACCGCGTGATGCGGCGGTCACTCCGGCTAACACAAGCTCCGGTCCGGGGGCGGGGTTTCGAGCGAAAGCGGGATCAAACGGGGTCAGAAGGAGGTGACTTACATAAGCTTGATCGTCGGGCTCATCTGCCACATCGGGAAAGGGACGTCCGGAGTTTGTCGGAGTTTCTCGCTCGCCCACCGTAGGACAAGTCGCTGGCTTTCTGAGCTCTGAGCTGTAGGCGGGCCACACCGTACGGTTCAGCGGTTTCGCCTCTGACAGCTCGCGCCTACGCCGCTGGGCTCACGCTCACGCTCACTCTCACCCGCTCACTCACTCGCTCACACTCACTCCTGCTGACTGAGCCCCTGGCCCAGGTGCGAATCGGCAGACCACCACCGTCCTGTTCACACTTGACCAAGAGATCGACCTCTTGTCGTCCTCATCCTTACAACTAACGGTTTGCAGGTTCATCAAGGTGAGCAGTGGTACTGGACGAGGGCAGAACCCGCACGCTGACTCGATCATCGCAGATGCAAATCTTCGTAAAGACGTACGTGTTTTCGACGACTACTGGAAGGAGGGGGAAAAGAAGGCGAGGGAGGAAGGGCTGACGATCCGCTGCTCCGCTTCACAGCCTCACGGGTAAGACCATCACCCTCGAGGTCGAGTCCTCCGACACCATCGACAACGTCAAGTCCAAGATCCAGGACAAGGAGGGTATCCCCCCTGACCAGCAGCGATTGATCTTTGCCGGAAAGCAGCTCGAGGACGGCAGGACCCTTTCCGACTACAGTGGGTATCAGATGTTTTGTGGTCATAGGTGGACGAGCCGAGTGAGGGGGAGGGCAGGGATGTGAGGGAGGGACATCGGGTCGAGGCATTGGCGGGATTGTGACGTCCTTGCTAGTGCGTGGAGAACGGGGACGAGTGGGGCGCAGGCGCAACACGATGACAGGCAGGTCATGCTGTCCGTCAGGAGAAGCTGCGTCGAGGGGAACGAGCGACGTGGGGCTTGCCGGTCGGAGATCACCCATTCGACCCCATCCCGCTAACACCCCCACAGACATCCAGAAGGAGTCCACCCTCCACCTTGTCCTTCGACTTCGAGGAGGTATCATTGAGCCCTCGCTCAAGGTACTTGCCAACAAGTACAACGTGAGTCGTGATGCATGCTGGTGCTACCGCCAAGTGCGCCCGCTGACCCTCCACACAGTGTGACAAGCAGATCTGCCGAAAGTGCTACGCCCGTCTCCCTCCTCGTGCCACCAACTGCGTAAGTCCCACCCTCACGAGCCAAGTCAGACACTCGCCTGACCATCCCACAGCGAAAGAGGAAGTGCGGTCACTCTTCTCAGATCCGACCCAAGAAGAAGATTAAGAACTAGACGGTCTTGTATTCTACTTGGTTTCGGTTCCGGCGCACCAGGGGTGGTGAAAAACACAAAGGCTCGGGCTCGCTAGTGGGTAGCACGATGTCGATGTATCTCATTGCTCGATGCGGGTGTCTTGATTGGGGGTGTTTTCTGGCTTGGTATGGCGTGAAGGCTGGGTCAGGCTGCATATGTTAGGCAAGTGGTTAGATCTGGGTCGCGAGGTCTCGGCGCGGCCTGGTGAGATTGCCGACATCAGGAGCGATCCGACTCTGCGGCCGCATGCAACACGGCCATGCATCGTGATCAATAGACTAGCTGCGCCGATCCGCTCACCAATCGATAACTTTGTAAAAAGCGTCACTGCCGCGCGGTATTTTTGCCCGCGGCGTGTTGTGCCGGTGAGACTCGCGTCCGACCGTTTCGGCACAGTGGCGCTTGTCGCCATACAGCGGCGCCTATCGTTCTACTGGTCGTTTATAAATGGATTGGGCATATCAAGCCAAGCACGATGGATGCATGTCACCTACTAGCTCACTTGCTCGCAGCGTACGACATAACCACTGATAGACACAGTACCCCTCCCTCGTCATCGTCATCCTCCACCAGGCGACCCGTACTACCGCCCGAGCCCCTGCTCTACCTCCTGCAATCACCCTCCCCTCGCCGGAGAGCGCCCCGCTATCCCGCTACATTCCTCACACGCCATGACCTCTTCGTCCGATACCAGCCTCAAGCCAGGGCTCTTTGCGCCCAGGGGAGACCCTACCAAGGTGCAGAACGCCTACAACGATGTGGCTAACCGGCGTATCGCCCAAGGAGAAGTGACCAAGGACGAACTGAGGGGACTCCTCGACGCATCCGAGCCGGGCGTCACCGTGGCTTACGTGAGCCAGCACTTTCATACACCACCCCCATCGCGTGCGCGTGTCAGCTGACCCCGTTGTAGACGGGAGCAGCAGTCGGCGCCGTCATCGGCTCGGCTTGGTTATTGCCCAGAGTCAGGCGGATAGGCATCCCAGTGACCATTATGGGCATCATGGGTGGCGTCGCCACAGGACTCGGTCTAGGTTTCCTAGCTGGAGCACTCGTCACGTACCAGAAACATGGCCAGCATATGAAGGATTTCGAACGGTGAGTACACTCCAATGCCTCTCAATGTGGTCCATCGCGCAAAGCGTTGGAAGAGATCCGGTTGGGCTGCCTAGGGGGATGCATGCTAAGACCCCTCTCTAGGAAGTGGACAGTACTAGAAGAGATCAACACCGAAGCTCGCGCGGTCGTGAACGCAGAACGACGCAATAGATGAAAGTGTGATGCACATGTACAGCAGATGATCCGGAGCTCGGCGGTACCCGATTACGGGTTCGCAACTCTAGCCGCCAAAACAACACCAAAAACAAAAAGGTGAAGACGCGACTCGAACGCGTGCGCCGTAAGGCAAAGCATCAAGAACTAGTAATAATTCGAGTGCTTCGGAATAGCCACTATCCGACTCCACCCGATGTTTGGGTCGTATACGTTACTGATATATACCTCCAATTGACCAGGTCTCAACAAAGATCGCTGCTTGGACATTGTCTTCATTCACGGTGATTCGATTAAATGCATCCCAATCTCCTACCCCTGCGCCTCTTCAGCGAGCTGTGGAGCTCAAAGAAGCCACCCTGTCTCAGCTCCAAGCGTTATTGCGCTGTAGCGTCCAGCATGATCAACGTCTAGGCAAATGCAAGATTGTGATGTCATCAGTTGTTGACTTGTTGTCATGTTGTCACCCGTCATAGCGTGTTGAACCGTTTCACCAGCACTGCTGTCGCTTCTCATCCTGGGTGAATCATCAGAACCTTCATTTCCAATCGCGATCCACGGTAGGAGTCAACGTCCAGCCAGCAGGAATCTGGATCTGGCTGTGACAGGAACATCAAGATGCTACGCAAGCAGCGACCGACATTCAGCAGTGCTGAGCTGGAGATGCAGCTTCAGCAGGTGAGCGTCCCGGCTTCGCGGGGCCAGGTTACCGCTTGTACTCCGACACCGTCATGGACGGATACTGACACGCTGCTGTCATCTCAGATCAACCTAGATCCCACTTCTTCCAACACCGAGAATCTCGAAGCGCTCGCACCGCTGATCAAGTCTATACAAGACACGGATAGCGAACAGCTGTACCTGCGCAGTCTGGACAAGTTCGTAGAAGAGAAAGAACGAGAAATCGAGAAGATATGTGAGGGTAACTACGAGGTATGTCAACGGTGGCGTCGAACTGCGTTGCAGCTGATACGTGGACCGGTCGTCAGGACTTTGTTTCGTCCGTGTCGACCCTCTTGACTATCCGGCAGGGGACAGGTCATCTTAGACGTCGTATAGGTGAACTGGACGGTCAGATGGGTGACGTTGGACGTGCTCTAGGGGAAAAGGTGCGTGCTCGTAAACCTTCTGTTTATCTAAGCTGGACGGTCACTGACGCTCCATTTTCGCTCAGAAACGAGCTTTGCTAGAGCAAAAGAAAGTAGCCAGGAACATGGACGACGCCATCGAGACATTACAAACCTGCTTGAGGTTGCTGGATTTGGTGCATCGTGTGGGAGAGATGATACGAGAGGGCAAATATTGGGGTGCTTTACGTGTGGGTGCGAAGTGCCAGCGATAATGATTGACACTGACAAGCCAAGTGCCGCAGTCGCTGGAAGATCTGCTTCACCTTCCACCACCCTCGATATCACAAACGCCCTTTTACGCACACATTCTATCCTCGCTTCCCTCTCTTCGACTGTCCATCAAGGACGCAGTGACGGCATCTACGAAGACCTGGCTGTTTGAAGTTCGCGAATCAGGCGCAAAGGTTGGGAAGCTTGCGCTCGAGCAGATGGGAACGAGGATCAAGAAGTGGCGGGCACGGCGAGAGAAGGAGGGAGGAGTCCGACTTGCCAGGGTCGGAGGACCGCTTGAGCTGGTCAATAACGAGCGAGTCGAGTGTGAGTCCATCGGCCTTGCTCATTCACATTCAAATAGCGAGAAATACAGGAAATTCGCTGATCCGCTTCTTGCTCGTCCAGTTGACGCTTTGGATAATGAAGAAATTCAGATCGACTTCAAACCACTCTATCAGTGTATACACATTTACGAAGCACTTGAGAGAAAACCCGAGCTGCAGCGGAGTTACCAGGAAGACCGGAAGGTGTGTTGATACATACTGCGACCGAGTTGACCTTTGACAGACGCAAGCTACTCTCATCTTGACATCTCGTCTGTCCACGACTCCCGAGACCCTTCTATCCACGCTTCCGCTGCTCATGCAAGAGCTAGTCGGCTTTTTCATCATCGAATCGCACGTCTTGCGTACCATGCCTGATTTCAGGACACAGCGAGACGTTGACGAACTGTGGGATGAGATGTGCAGGCGTATCGTCGAGGTGATGGGGCAAGGTTTAAAGGGATGCAGTGCCCCTGAAGTCTTTTTGGAGAGCAAGACCAATGTTCTGCTCTTTGTCCAGACTCTGGAGGTGAAGGGAAACGCTGTTCGCCTGCTTTTGTTGTACTAACGGGATCTCGGGCGTAGGGCTACGGATATAACATCACCGAACTCAATGGGCTCCTGATTACACTATTCGAACGCTACTCGGAATTGCTTCTGCGGAAGTTCAGTACAGATTTCGACCAGGTATGTTTTTTCAGGCTGCTCGAGATTGAACAGGAACTGACACGCCTTCTAGGTCGTTTCGGAAGACGACAACCAGCCAATGATGGTGCAGGATCAGGAAGAGTTTGACCAGGTTGCAGGTGTTTGTTGGTTGGGTACCGGCGAAATGGAATCGCTAGCGATGTAAGTTACCGGGTCATGGTCTCACATGATCTCTTGAGGCGCTAATCGTTTTTCGCCACGTAGGCAAGGGTTTCCGCAGGCTATGCCGTTCTCACAAACTTACCCAATGTGCTGCATCAACATACGAAATTTCGTCGATCAGTTCTATCAGTTCACCGACGGTGTGGCTCAGCAACATCTGGATATTGACGAGGTTCTGCGGAAGGTACGTGGAGCCACGTCATGGTATGACCAGTGTTTACTGACTCTTGCTGCAGTCACTCGACGGTCTGCTCTCGGATCATGTCAGCAAGCAGATTGCGAAACGCCTGCAGGCCATGTCGAACCTTTCGCAGATTGCACAGGTTGTCATCAATCTGGAGCATTTTAGCACTGCTTGTGATGAGCTCGAGGGAGTTCTGATGAATTTACGGTAAGAGTCATAGCAGGAAGCCGACGTTTCGTTGGCTTACCCTTGATGGACACAGAGCATCACAGCGGGGCGGTCCCGTAAAACTGGCCTCTTGCGCCTCCTTCGCGCAGACGCTTATGATGGCTCAGTCGAGGATTGACAGCGTTATCAATTCAAAGCTGGAGTCATTCTTCGAGCTGGCAGAATACAACTGGATGCCGGTCAGACCCCAGTCGACGGCGGCTGAACCAAGCACATACGTTTTCGAGATGATCACCTTCCTTACCGCCTATGTGGATTCGGTCTTGATTGGCCTCAACGAAAGCATCAAGACGAGGGCGTACCAGAATGCCTTAAGTAGGATCAACCGATGGCTCATGGTATGTGCGAATGGATATGACTAGTCGCTGTCGCTTGAGCTGACGGTTTTCTTACCACAAAGGAAACGCTGTGTGGACGGGATGTGATCCGATTCAATGAGGTTGCCTTGGCAAGCGTTCTGGCGGACGTGACATTCATCGAGACTGAGGTCAAGCGGCTAGACAAGACGGATCTAGACAGGGTATTTGACGAGGTGAAGCATGTGAGCAGAGATCTGATCCCGGGAAATGTCGAAGTGTTTAAGCTGACATTCTGTGCGCGATAGACCATAAATATTATTCTATCAGATGCCGTCTCGGCTTACATGGAGCCATCGATCCGCTCCATGTCATACGCATCGGTCAAGCCCATTCGATTGGCTGTAATCCTTGCCAAGCTGGGCAAAGCCGCTGCCGCCAGTGGCGGCGGTGCCAATATGGCCAAGGCCGAGCGAAGGCGGCGGGAAGCCGACGAGGTCGCCAAGATCGCAGGCAGGTAATCGCAAGGTGAATCAAGATATAGACCTGGTTATGCGAGGTAGCCGAGTCGCCATGCTTGTCAGTGGCAGACTGGTCCGACTGTTTTGTTGTATAGCCCATGCATTCTCGAAATATCCAAAGGGCTCTGGTCGACTTGGTGATGATGTCACCGTCTAGATCAGGCACCGGTTCGAATCATCACCCGGCCCAATGACTTTCGCGATCGTCGATAGACACTATAAGATGTACACGCCTCCCAATCTTCAACGCTTGGTATATCCCACATAGCTAATCAGCTCGGATCAGAGCCAATCGCTCTCACCATGCTATCCAGACGCCTCGCTTCCACCATCTCTACTCCAGCCAAGGACAAGAAACAGCGCAAGATCGTATTGGTCGGAGCTGGGTTTCTGGGTAAGTCGTGAACCCTCCTCCCGCTGTCCATGCCGTCCGAGTCGCCGCGACCGGCTAGGGTCAGAGAGATAGTATGGAGCTGATGGTACTATGGATCAGGTTCATACATTGCGAAGGCTCTTGTAGCTGACCCTCGGAACCGTGTACTGCTTGTCTCGAGGAATCCTCAGAAACGTGAGTGTCCGCAGGCGACCGGCTGTTCGCCCGTCCATATGCCACACACAGTCTGCGACGTGCTGATAAGGATTGCTCACCACACACTAGAATATGACGACCTCTCTCGACTGGGGTCACAGATCTTATCGCCGCACTCTACCGACCTGACTTCCAGCTCGGCCCCAGAATCCCTACGCGAGGCATTCAGAGATGCTTCAGCGGTCGTGTCGATGGTAGGCCTGTTGACCGGATCAGCCAAGACGATGGACCTGGTACAAAGGCAGGGAACGGAGAGGGTGGCCGAGGCGGCGAAGCAGGCAGGTGTTGGCAGGGTGATTGGTATCAGCGCGATTGGAGCCGATGAGGGTGGGGTGACGCCTTAGTGAGTTCTTCCCCTTCCGCCATGGACGTCATGCTTCATGGTCGAGAGCTCTGAGTATGTCAATGCGTACAGATGTTTCCACCTGCTGAGCCGACAATGATTGGAGACAAATTTAACTGACTTGCACGCAAATCGTAGCTGGCGAACCAAAGCTCAGGGGGAGAATGCGATTCTAGAGGACCACCCGACCGCTACCATAATCAGACCATCCATTGTCTTCGGCCCGGGCGACTCGTTCTTCAATGTGGGTCTCCCAACTGCGTAGGTCTTGCGGCTGTATCTGATATCTCATTTTATAGCGCTTCGCGACTTTGGCAAAGTTCCTGCCTTTCTTGCCCGTTTTCGGCGGTGGTGTCGTACGATTCCAGTGAGTCTGGCTGCCTGGCTGCTATATTTCGAACTATTAGGTGACTGACGATGCTTCAGACCGGTATATGCCGGTGACATTGCCCGCGCGGTCGAGATCTGCTGCAGAGACGACGAAGAGGTGATCCGAC